AAGACTCACCACATCCCGGGATGGATAGAATTATTAGCCCTGATCCCTTATCCCTCACTACCTCTATACTCATCTCACTGTGGGCAGAGTGGACTGTCTAGTCCCTGGGCTCGGGCTTGGTCATGTGACTTGCTTTGGCCCACAGAATGGGCAAAAATGAGAGTGTGGCAGTTTCACTTGGGCAGCTGCTGCCTCTTCAGCCTGGGCCTCAGGATAAACACGCTTGGAAAAGAGCTACCTCATCTGGTCTGCAGACCAGCAGTGAGGAGCAGAGTGGACCCAGCCAACAGAACATTAAACCACAGCTGCCCCAGCCAAACTGCAGACTCATGAGAATTGCTACCCACGAGGTTGGGATGGGTTTATTACATAGCATTATTGTGGCAATAACTAATTAATACATGTGCACACTCTTTTATTAGATTATAAGTTAAGCCGCTGCAGTAGAGATCCTACACAATATTGAGTTAAATAAGAAAGACATTTATTGACCTTTTGTGTAAGAATATGGTTAAGCAGCCAGGGTTAATTTGGCAGCTCGTGGGGAGACAGGCTCCACCATTCTCACTGTAGCCCTCTTCCACCAGCAGCCTTTGTATTGTTCACAGATAGGTGGTAATTTTCCTGCAAGTCCAAACACGCCACAGTGTGGCGCCAAACCCTCTTTCCTACATCACCCTCCAACAGCTGAAGCCTCACCCTGAACCATGTTTCCACTCCTGCTCCAGGCCACGGGGCCTGTTCTTTTCTTGGATGGGTGCGTTCCTGCTATGTCTGCAAGCTGCTGCTCCAAGGCCCTCCCCCAGGGGGGTCTCGACAGCATCTCACTCTCACCAGAACCCAGGCCTGGTGCTCCCCAGGAGTGAGAGGTCCTGACCTCCTTGGGGAGTGGGAGGGGTGGGCAGAGATGTCCATTCTGCCTCCTAGTCATCCTAGGAGCCGACCTCTCCCACCCTCAAATCCCTGCTGACCTCTGGCCCTGAAGAAGCCAGAGAACCTCTGCATCCACCTCCCTGACCCCCTTGCTTCCACATCTCAGCACTTCAGTGAACACAAGAAGCAGGGGGACCCCTGCTTCAGAGGCTGACAGAGGCTGGAGTGGGCATGTGGGTTTGGAGGGTGACAGACTCTATCCTGGACTAAACTCTAGCCAGGCTTCTCTGTGCCTCCCTCTAGATTCAACCTTGGCCCATAAAGACTTGAACAAACACCAACATAGTTTCTACCAGCTCAAGGCCACAGCTCTAGGATGACTCTAGCCCCTCTTCAAGTGCCTGCCTGGAGAAACTCCAGGCTGCCTAAAGAACTTGCTGTTTGTTTCAGCCAACACCTGAAGCTAGGGACTTTTGTCTCTCAGCTGCTGGGACAGGGTCGGAGCCCACCTCTGATAAGTGTCAGTTATCCAGCATAGGTGGGTTTCACGTACAAGACCAATCTTTCATCCTTAAAACATAAGTTCTTGTCCTTTCAGTTCTTACTCATCTGCACCCACTGCACAAGCCCTTCAGTTGCATCAAAACCTCTGGTCTGGTACCCCATTTTCTTCCAGTTCCTACTTGGTCTACATCCCCATGTTGATCTCTTGGCCTGACTACTTTTAGGCCACCATCAAAGTACTCTTTATAGAATTCAAGCTTGGTCATATCTCTTTTCTCTGCTTAAAACATTATGGTCTGTGCTCTGTTTGGTCAGGTCCTTTGCCAGGCGCTTCAGGACTGTTTCCCTGCTCACCTGCACAGCCTCATCTGCTGCCCTTTCCCCGTTGAGCTCTACACTTGGGAACACCAGACTGCACCTGTTTCAAGCCTGCCCGAGATTTCATGCTTCTGACCTCTGTACTGTCCTCCATCTGGAATGCCCTTCCTTCATCTTGTCCTCCTAAGAAGCTTCTATGTGGCTTTCTTCCTCTTCCTTTCCTCCAAGCCACCCTTCACATTTACTCCTTTCCAGTCAACCAGGAACTGAACCACTTGTTGGTCCATTGCCACTGTCTTGCCAACACACTGTCTTCTCTGTGTATCTTCAGGTGTCTGGGCCTCCTGTTAGGCTTAGGGTCCCTCGTGGCAGTGACTTTGTCCTAATCAACTCTTTCCCCAGCACCAGGAGCAGTGTCTGGCTCGTACTCCAGGCCCAACTCAAGTTCTCCCTTTTTCATGGACTCTCCCTAGCTTCCTAACCTTCCCTCCTCTGAGTCTTACAACTTTTCTGTATCATTTTTGCCCTAATTGTACATGGTCTCATTTCATTAACTTTTAAAAAATGGCTAATTTCTCTGACAGATTTCATCAGAATCAGTGAGACTTTTCATTCATTTGGTAGCTATTGGCCTTGTGTCTCCCTCTCTCCTTCTGTCACTCAGCTCTCAATAAGGAGCTGGGCTCTGTGCTGGCTTGTCCATCATGTGATGGTGACAGAGGCAGCCCTAGGCAGACAAGCTTTGTACCACCTGACCCTGGGCACTCTTCCCACTTTCAAGCTGTCTCCAGGGATGTGTGCCTGATCCAAGGAGAGACATCTCACTCACAGGCTGGCCAGGTGATGTCTCTGGGCTCTGGTAAAAACACTGCCCAGTCTAGGTCAGAGAACAAGATGGTTGGATGGCATCATTGACTCAATGGACATGAGTTTGAGCAAGCTCCGGGAGATAGTGAAGGACAGGGAAGCCTGGCATGCTGCAGCCCATGGGGTCACAAAGAGTCAGACATGACTGGGCGGCTGAACAACAGCAGCCACCTTTAGGTCAAGTTAAGCAAAGCAGACTTTTATTCTCGGGGATTTTAATTTAGAAAACTGGTAAGGTAGCATGTGAGACCAATACAAAATTGTGCAAATTTGAGGTAGTGTGATACAAAAAAAATGATGTGTAAACCTCACTTTATGTACCAACTTTGAAATAATGAAAATGTCCCCAGATAGGAGCCTGGAGCTACGGGGAATCCTGGTCCGAGCTTTGGGAAGCCCAGCAGTGCAAGGATCTCTCCCCCTGGTCTTGTCAACTCCCTGTCTCTGTGTCTACCTCTCTTACTGAAATCAACCTCCCTTTCATTACAGAGTTTTGAGTGGACCTGGGGACTTGCTGCTCTTGTGAACTAAGTGCAACCAAAGCCCCTAGTACAGTACCTGGCGCACAGCAGGTGCTCAGTAAACAGCAGCCACCTCTTCCCCTAATTATTATTATCATCACTGTTATTGACTCTGTGGTGGCAACCAAATATTCTATACTTTTCTCACCCCTATTGGAATCTAGCCGTTCTGCGCTACAACCCTAACACACTTTTGGACGTGTGGCCTGGGGCACTTGAGCAGGTAACCTACGTTCTTCTCTTTTGAATTTTATTTCCTTGTTTGTTTTTGGCTGCACTGGTTTTCGTTGCTGCACGTGAGCTTTCTGCAGCTGAAGTGCACAGCTTCTCTTGTTGCAGAGCACAGGCTTGAGCGCGTGGGCTTCAGGAACTGAGCGGCGCACAGGCTTAGTTGCCCCACAGCATGTGGGATCTTTCCGAATCAGGGATTAAACCCGTGCCCCCTGCACTGAGGGGTGGATTCTTAACCACTGGACCCTCAGGGAAGTCCAGGTTACCTACATTCTTCAAACCCTGTTTCCTATCTGTCAAACGAGGATAACAAGATATGTTTCCATGGATCGTTGGGCTAAACAAGACCATAAAATGCCTAACCCAGGGCTGGGCACCACACAAGCAAATAGAACATGCTAGCTGCTGCTGCTTCCTATTATTAGTATTATTGGTCATGCACTTTAAACAAAGTAAATACTCGTTGGCTGAAGTTACTACCCAGAGAAAACATTTGTTTTTCATTCTTGGTGAGAAATTTTGGAAGATGACCTGGGCAGGCACTGAGAGAATAGATGTCTTCATGCAGCATCAGGGAACTCATAAACCAGAAGAAACGGGTGGGCTGATCACTTTGCTTGAAACCCCACCCAACTAGCAGAACCTGCTGGGCTCTGAGGCCCACTGCTCCTCTGGGGGACTGTGTGCCCTCATCCCACGGTTTGCACCATTCTTCACCTCGTATTATTAAAGCTCTGACGCTATCTGTGGTCATTTTGGTAGATTATCAAATCTTATTCATTCAGAATTTCTTTTGCTCATTAATACATTTCTTTCTCCCTGACTTACTAAATGTGATCAATTAATGATTTTCTTTGCAGGACTGGAAAAGCCTTTGCACCTTCCCCACATAGCACTGTCATTACAGCATCACTTGGAATCAAGGCAGCCCTGGGCACGTGTTGGGTGAGGCAGGAGTGGGTTTGGTTTGGTGCTGGAGGGAGCCAAGCAGCACATGACCGACCCTCTAAGGGGTCAAGAGAGGCTGGGGCCTGAGGAGGACCATCTGGGGTGCACTCACATGTTTTTCTTTATCCTGCCCCTCTGGCCCCTCCCTGCTAGCTATTCAAAGGCTCAGATTTTTTTTTTTTTTTTTGCTTTTTAAAGAAAAAATACAACCCAATGTGCATTTTCCACCAGCTTGAAGGGGTGGAGAACCCCCTACCAAGACAGGGAACATGAGTTCCTGTACATGAGTTTGAGAGCTTGGGAGAAAGTCAGGCCTTGGTCCTGTGGTGGAGGGTGGCCCAGTGATCCACATATTCTGTCAGCTCCAGCGACTGACAAGAGAGGCTGGAAGTGGATGATCCTCCGTGAGCAGGAGGTCAAGTGTGTTGTAAATAACTTGTACTTGATGAACCAGAAGAGAGAGCACCAGAGAAAATTGTTATTTGATTTAATGATCTATGCCCCCTGAGGACGACCTGTTTTCCAGTTCTTGGGGGCTGGTTATACTGGAGAAACAAGGGACGGAAGCCCCCCTCCATCCTTGTATTTATCCTCTTCTGCCCGCATTTCCTCTGATGGAAGTTCTGGCCGCCCTGAGGGGTTCTAGTTTCAAAAAAAGAGCTCTGCTTTTTTCTTGCAGGCCCTTGATAGTGGTACATAAATACTCAACTATTGACATTTTAATTCCTTACCACATGGTTAGAATTGGTTATGGATTTATACATTTTAATATGAGAAAAATAAGTATTTTACAAGTGATGCTGAGAAGCCAGTATTAGAAAATAAAATCTGCAGGTGGCCTGTGGCAGGACGGGGCTCACTCTGTGGCGGTGTCGGCGGCTGCCTCACTCTCCTCACCCTCTGGCTCTTCAGCAGCCGAATCTGTAGCCGGAGGTTCCTCTGTCGGTGCTTCAGGGGTCCCCCTGGGATGAGAAGAAGAGTGCCAAGGCGTTTAGTCTCGCAAGGGGCAATTACACTTTTCGTTATTTCCTCATCTGAGGCGAGAAGTGTAAATCGTCCCCTATTGTTTACCCTGCATCCTTATTGAAAATCTCATCCTCTTCCGAAGACTCCTTGTCGTGCAGCTTCTGCGCCATGTTTTTCTTGCGCGTGGCGTTGAGAGGCCTGTACATGTCCCGAAGCCAAAGTGGCCGCCGCCTCCAGAAAAAGCCCTCCTGGGACACAGAGAGCGACAGGTTAGCTCTGCTTCCCGCCCCCCCGCTTCCTCCGGCTACAGCACTTCATCCTTCCCAAACCCACCTGACTCTCACTTGTCCCTGAGCTCCTCTTACGCAGCAGAAATCCGAAAAAGCCCCTTGGAGGAAAGCATACACGGTTAGTGTCAGGTGCCACTTTCCATCGCTCACAGTGTATTTGCTCTGGTCTTACCAGGACTAACTGGGACTTCAGTCAGCAATCACAATGAGCAAAGTCACCACAGACCTGGGGTCTTGAGAATCACTCCATGCTGGCCTTCCAGAAGCTCTCCGGGTCTGTCCAAACTGGCCCCTGGCCCGCATCTCTGGGGAGACCTGTGCATGTGGCTTAGCATGGCTTACAGGCACAATTGCAGCCCCACTCACATTTCTCGGCCCTCAGCCAACTGCCCTCGAGCAGTGAAAACACTGCGCAACCGTGCTGGGCAGATGCACATTCCTTCCAGAAGCATTCCACACTAGCCCCCTTTGGACTTAGTCTCATGTGCAGCATTTGCTGGGGTAGGGTGGGGAGGGGAGGAGGTGCTTCTGTTTTCTTAGCTGCTCTATCCGATAAACTGCATCACAGCAGGTAAACCCTTAAATCCAACTAGCAAAGTTACCTAGCACTCTGACTTGCATATGGCAGGTTGTCACTGAGGTGTGAGTGAATTGTGAAATCAGTTTAAAGGTTATGACCAGCAGGAAAACTCAAAAGTATTCTTTTTGAAAACAAACAGAATTGAAAAAAAAAAAAAAAACAACGGTGTGCACACTGAGTTTGTTCAGAAACCACTTCTGTCCATAAAGTCTGTGTGTACTGAGCTGTGACATAAAATGCAGCTCGCAGCCTAAGCACAGTGTGATCACAAGGCGCCCTCGGTGGAAAGGCACCACCTTCTTTTTGATAATCACTAGCAGCATGACCATGGGGCTGGATGTTTTCTCTTTCTCCATTTTTTTTTTAAATTATAAAAGGAAAAGACAAACTACTGTCTAAAGTTTCTTCCAGTTAAAACTTTATGAGGTTTGGATAAAGGGAATATGGAGTGGGGGCTGAAAACCAGGAAGATGAAAAGGGGAGCTTTCCTGCCCCTTTACAGAAAGAACACATAATTTGTTCTACTTTTCATCAGCTTTGAGTAAAGGCTAGCCCCCAAATCTCTAACTTCCTTACCCCAGAGCCTCCAAGAACACCTCTGACCTGGCCTGATGCCTACCACCAGCTGGAATAGGTACAACCAAAACCTCTCCCCGTCCACCCTCTTCCCTTAAAGAATAAGTGAAACCAGATGAATCCATCCCAGTCCTGTGCTAGGCCTGATTTGGTTGGGGAGCTAGTTCTGATGATAAATAAATTAGTGTAAAGCACTAGGGTAAATAAAGCTTCTTCCTGCCTTTGGTGAGGAGACTAAAATAGATGAATTCTCAGCTCTCCTCTAGTTCTAAAATTCTACTTTAAAAGACCAATATTTACCTTCTGCTTCCTTCTTCCTCTGATGCTGTTCTATGAGAATAAATCTGTTTTAAAAGAAAACATGATCACAATCATGACAGCCACTTCCAAATCTTTATTCATTACTTTTTATTTTCAGTCTTACCTACCCAGTGAGTTGATAACATTTTTAAGGACAGGAATTCTATCCTGTCTAAGAATCCTTTGACTCTCCCACAGTACCTAACCTTGGGTGTTGCATGCAGCTGGCGATACATTTTATGGACCATTTTAGATCATGTTCAACAGATAATTCCTAACAAAAAACTTTCAGAAGTAGGGAAAGAAAATAAAAGTATTGACCAGAAAACTAAGCACTGTTTAAAATCAAGAACAGGGGGAAGATGCCTATCATTACTATTACTATTGATCACTGTGGAGGAAAGGGGTCCTAATCAGTACAGTAAGAAAAAGGGAGAATTGGAAAGGAAGAGATAAACATATCTGCATATGAATGATGGACTTTAGAAGACCAAAGGAATCAACTGAAATTTTAAGTACTGTAAGTAATATGAGAATTCAGTAAGACAGCTTATATACAAAATCAAGAGATCAACATATAAGCTTTAATAGCTTTCCTATATAGCACAAACAACTAGCTAATAGAAAAAAAGATCCCATTTATAATATCAATAAGAATGCATAAAGTAACTATGAATAAACTCAACCAAAAATGTGTAAGACTTATGTAATGAGAATATTAAAACCTTCCTGAAGGACACTGAGAAGAAATACATACGTGGCATAGGATTCTATCTTCTGAGAATACTGTAAGGAGGTCAATTCTCCTCAAATTAACCTACAAATTCGATGCAACCCTATTTATATCCAAGGAAATTTTTAAACAAAACCTGGTGAGCTGACATTTGATAGAGAATATATGCAAGAACACTTATGAAATGTATGAAAAAGAAGATCAAAGATCAGGGCCTTACCCTAACAGATAAAAAATTACATGTTATAGAGTACCTGGAGTTAAGCAGTGTGATATTGAAAAGATAACTGGATCAACAGAATAGAATCCAAGTAAAGACAGTATTTTAGAGAGGGGAGAAAGAATGAACCATTCAGTGAAAGATTTGAAAACAAGTGGATCTTCACGTACTGGGGAAAAGGTTAGATCCCCTACCTCAACCACACTAAAAATCAAATACAGCAAGTTCTAGACAGATTATAAAAGTACTTGAAGATGGTGATTAGAGATGATTTTTGTGTCATGAGGTGACAAAGGCTTGGCTAACAAAACCTGCTGCACATGAGCTATGAGGAGAGGCTGGCCCGTTGTGGTGGTAGACTGTCAATGCCTCTCCTACTCTTCTCAGCCCTCAACCCCTTCTCCTCTGGATTGTCTGTCTTCTTCCTGTTGATTTATAAAACCCCGGGGAGTTCCCTAGTGGTCCAGTGGTTAGGACTCCGCGATTTCACTGTGGTGACCTGGGTCACCCCTGGGTCACCCCTGGGTCATTCCCTAGTCGGGAATGAAGATCCTGCAAGCACAGCACGTCCAAACAAACAAAAACAACCCCCCACCACAAACCTCTTTATGATAAATAAATATTGGCTTTCATTGAATTTCAGCATTTCAAAACCTCCCATTGTTTCTGTCTCTAAGGTGACAAGACAAAAGAGCAGAGTAGGGAGCACAGGCTTTGCAGTAGGGTGATACTGGGCTCCTGCTTTTGGTTTGACCACTGGGGCCTCATGCTGATTTCCTTCCTCTATGAGAGAGGGACAGTAATACCATCCTCACAGGATTGTGGCGATTCAGTCAGACAGTACACAGAAAATTCTTCATCTTCCACTTGGCATGAAGCAGTGCTAAGTTGTTGTCACAGACCAGGTGGTCAGATCCATCAAAGACTCTGCTCGTGGTACCAGGCCCTGAAGCTGCTTTCCTGCCACAGGATTATTAAAATACTGCTTTTCTTCTAATACTTTTATGCAGTATTTTTTCACATTTATGGAAACATGTTTTTTTTAAGGTGAGAAATGGGGATCTGCTTTTATTCTTCCCCCTCCCCATAAATAGTCAGGCAGCTTATTTGATTATCATTTATTCATTTTCTTCCACTGATTAGAATATTAAAACATGACAAATATCTTAAGAACACATGGCTCTATTTCTGGACTCTCTACGTTACTTTAAATAAATATTCCGTTGCATTATTCCTCACTGTGGAACTGATAAAATGCCTCATCTCTGTTCTGTCAAACACCATTAGTGTCTATCATGGGAAAAACATTGCACAGTCCCTGTCCTCAAAAACCTTGTAAGTGGGAAGAGGAAACAATGAACTGGTGTAAATAAATACAAATGCAAGGTTAAACTACATGGAAATTAAAAACAGTATAAAGAGGATGTTATAGGACTTCCCGGATGGCACTAGTGGTAAAGAACCTGCCCGCCAATGCACAACACCTTAGAGATGCGGATTTGATTCCTGGGTCAGGAAGATCTCCTGGAAGAGGGCATGACAACCCACTCCAGTATTCTTGCTTGGAGAATCCCAAGGACAGAGGAGCCTGAAAGAGCTACAGTCCACGGGGTCACAAAGAGTCAGACACGACTGGCAACTTAGCTCACACATACAGATATACTAAACAAGCAAAGGCCATATGCCACCTGGAGATGCAGAGAGTACAGTCTGGGCAATGGCCAACTACTAGCAAGCTGACCCCATGCTAAGTCCCCAGACCCCATGCTAAGTCCCCAACCTCCTAGGCTCAGAAATTACTCTTCCCCACCAAGAGAGAACTTACATCTTCCTCTTGTGGCAGTTTCACTTTATCAATAATATCACAGGACTGATCAAAAATCAGAATGCCAAATTCTTACTTGACAACAAGAAATACATCTGTTCTACAGACAGGGCACCTGTGTCTACACAACCAGAGAATCAAACTTCTGTAAAGACAGGCCTCCAAGGCACGCCAAAGCACAACCACACACTCAAAAGGCTACTTGGTGAGAAGAGAATTAGAACCAAAGGAACCAGCTGAATCCCACATTAAATGAAAAGGCCTGTGGTAGCCAGATGCTCTCAACAGGTGCAGCCTGGCGATGGGCCTGACTCTTCAGTGATGCTGCCTCAGGTGCCATCTCTACTTTTGGACAAGGTGAGGCTGGGCACAGCCCATGCTGCTCCCTCTTCACCTTTTCTGTACTTTCACTACTGACCAGTCCTCCTACAGACCGACACATTTCTCTTTAGCAGACACATCATGTCAGGTTTTATTCAGGTCTGACAGACCAGTAAGCCATTGGTCCTTACACTGCTCTGCTCCCCTCCATGAGGCTCTTAGGGAGCCACCTTCTAAAGAACTGTTTACCACTTTTGTAAGTTCTGAGGTGAGGGGACTGCTTTGCTGGGGCCCCTAAGAACTGGCGACAGGCCTCACGGGACTAGGGTCAGCACGGCTGGATTATTCAGGGAAGTCTATTTGAAGAAAGATGAACTTGAGTTGGCTTTGGAGAGTCACAGGACTCCCACAGGCAAAGTAAAATACAGGAATTTATTTTGTCTGCACAAACGTGCAGGTAAAAGCAGGAATAGGTACGGTGTAACAAGCACATGGTGAGGGGCTGCTTTGGCTGGAATAGAGGGCTGCCAGGACAGAAGAAAAGATAAAGTAGATTGACTTGGTAGAGAAGAATCAAGATGGTCAGCTCATTAAAATTGCTCTTTTGGACTTCCCTGGTGGTGCTGTGGATAGGAGTCTGCCTGCCAATGCAGGAGACATGGGCTTGATCCTGGTCCAGGAAGACCCACATGCCACAGAGCAAACTAAGCCTGTATGCGGCAACTACTCAGCTCCCACACACAGAGCCTGCCCTGCAGCAAGCCACCACCACGAGAAGCCTGTGCTCAGCAGGGAAGAGTAGCCCCACCACTTGTCTCGACCAGAGAAAGCCCACACAAAGCAACAAAGACCCAGGGCAGCAAGAATAAATCAATGAGATTATAAAACATAAAATAAACATGTTAAAAACCCCAAATCTTCCTCTTAGTGTTAGCAACTGCCTGTTGGGGAAAGTAATAAACCATTACGTAACTGAATGAAAGGTCAACAGGCTAGCTCCAGGAAGATGCTGCTCCAAACATGACATACTTCCGGGTGGCCTGATGCAGGATTCTTACCTGTAGCGCTCTAATGGAACCTATTTACACAATGCCTAACACACCGGAGAAGACAGCTGCTGAGGAGATCTAAGGGACTGATAAGATCCTTTTAGCCCTCCTAGGGTGACCGATAGCTACGTGAGGGTGGAAATGATGTATCTCATCACTGCAGCCAACAAGGAGAGAAATCAAGGTAGCATGAGAGTGCCTGTGAGTACATCAAATCCACATGGTGTTCTGAGTCGGAGAAATGTTACTATCGTGTCAACTCTGGCTTCTTATAAACTTAACTGGTCAGAAGAGTCTAACGGCTTATTATCTTGGATTCAGTTCCACAGATATTTCCTGTGAGTGGAGCTCCTGTGAAAACCCTGGGAACACACTCTTCAATAAAAGAACAAAATATATCTCAGTCCTCGTGACTGAAGAGGAGTATCAAGTACTAGCAGGTGGAAAGGTCGCTTTGATTTCTCGGGTTGGGGGTTCTGAATCTGAATTAATAATCATCCTTACCTCAATGAGACAGAACATTATAATCAAAAACATCACTACTACAGTCACAGATATCGCCAGGATGAGTTTGTTGTTATAGCCGTAACCTGGGACTTCTTTTGTGAGCTAAAAATAAAGAAATAAATAACAAGTTTTTAAAAACAGGGAGCTGGAAAGGATGAAAGCTGAGTATTCTTAAACCTATTGTAAACAATAGCTGGCTATTCTTAAACTACTAGAAGACTCCATCCTTTTCAAGTGGATAGCTTTTATAAGAAGAAACCAAATTTAAAGTTATTGATCTCATTGTTAGCATTATCTTCTACAATGTATTTATCTTGTGTGTTATGTCCTCTTCTCATCTATCCTAGGAATAGTGGCACATTCTCTGAATAAGCAGAGAGGGAGGTCACTATCTTAGCCAGCTTGGTTGAGACAAGGTACAGACCAGGAGCCCCAGGCTTCCTGCTTGGGCACTTTAATGGCATGACCTGAACTGAGTGGAAGCCCAGGGCCCAGGTCCCAGGTTTCAGGCATGATCCTCACCTCACTGGACTCCGGTTCTTTCTGTTCACTCTGGGCTTCTGTGCTCTCATTGATGTAGTTCTCAGTTTTCCACTGGTCCGTATCCCATTCTGCCTTGGACACCTTTATTTCTTGCTGCTCGCTGAGAAGCTTCATCAAGAGGCCTGTTCTGGAGATGAGTTTGGCGCAGGCCAGCTGCACGTGGGTCTCAGAGCAGTCCATCTTCAAAGTCCTGATGACGTGAGCAATGAGCTTTCTCACGTCGTTGTTGGGGATGAGAGATCGTAGCTGCTGGTTAAGCTGACTTTCAAACTGATCGCCTGGAGATGCGAGCACTGAGAAACTGACACTTGGGGGCTTAGAGGCGAGCTCAGTGCCCACGTTGTGGTACTCCCACTGTGTTTCGTTCGTGTGTTGAACAGGTGGCATGAAGTCTGCAGCAACAGTAGAATGTGCACTGGAGACATTATTACGGGCAGCAATTCCAGGTCTTGTTTGTTTTGGCCGAGTAATGTTTCCCGAAGAGACAACTGCTCCAAAAACATGTGGAGTATTGTTCACTGAACCAGAGTTGTCTTTAGCAGGGTCTGAAAGAGAATATAATTCTGAAAAAGGATTTTCCTGAGGATCCAGTAATCCTGAAGATGAAAACCCCTCTCGTGGAGGGGAATTGATGAGACTCCTCACTGCAGAGAACAGAGGCCTTCTGGCCAGCATCATCCTACTGAGTGAACCTTTCTTTCTCATCTTTCGGCTTATTTTGGCCTTCGGTGTTCTGTGGGCCACCCGAGAGCGAGTTTTATGGAAGAGGTATTTTTTTCTGGAATGTGAGACTGGTTTGGAAGACTTCATGTTTCTCACTCTAGCATCAGCATCTTCTAAAACAAAAATGGTGTAGGATAAGTCTTTTGATTTGTTTTTAACCTCAGGTTGGGGTTTTGGAGGGAGGGGGTCAGAAGGCCTGCCCCGAGAGTACTGTTTCAGGAAAGAAGAGACTGCTGCCTTGTGTTCCTTTATGAACGAAGGCTCTGTGTTGAAGGAGTTCCCCACTAACTTCCTGGGCCTTTGCACCATGTCCAGTTCATCCAGTTCCCTTGGGGACGGCCTCCTGAGCCTTCTTTCTTTGGCAGTGTTCTCCACAAATGGCTGGGCATTCTGTTTCTTCTCGCTGCTCTCATCTCCTGCATCTTTGAAGTGCCTTTTCTGTAGGCCCCTTGGGCGCTTGAGGACCCTGTCCACTCTCAGCAGCCTTTGCCCTGGACTCTCAATCTCAGCTAGACTGTTTTCCTGTAGCTGGGCTGTTTCCAGTTTCTTCGGAAAGATTTGGCGTTTAAATTTGGGGCCCAAAAGGTTGGCACGGATAAGCATGGCCGTTTTTTCTTTCTTTTTAACCTCATCAATTTTTTCTTGAATTTCTGCATCTAACAAGTTTTCCAGAAAATAGAGTTTCCTCAATTTATTTTTATAAGTTGAATTGTTGTATATAGGCTTAACAGAAGGGTTCTTTGTATTGTTTTTGAAATGGCCCAGGGGCATATCTCCCTCATGGGCATTTGTAAAAAGAAGTTGAATAAAGGGCAATAATGTTGATTCAACATCTTCTAGATTTCCCTCTGAGAAATAAGGCAGTATGTAATTCAGTGCGCTGATCACATCACTTTCGTCATTAAAGTCCAGCTGCTCATTCATGAAGGCTGGCAGACTGACAGCACTTATGTCTGAGGACGCCCTCTCAGGTTCAATAGTCAGTTCTGTGCTGGTGTTCTTCTTCCGGGCTTGTAACACCTTCATGAACGATCCTTCTGCATTCCCTATAGATGTATTTTCATCTGTCAAAAGAGAAGAGACTGTTTTTGATAACTGAAGACTGATGGGAGAGGTTTTTGTCAGTCCACAGTCATGTATCCCAGACAAATAAATTAGGCATCAGCAAATGTTTGACTGCCACTTGGAGGGGAAAGAAAGAAAGCCAAACATAAGTCAATGATTGACAATAATAAAAGGTGAAAAAAGATATCTCTTTTGAAAAAGTGACCATCTGCTCAGAAGACTCTGTGGCATGAAATATAGTAATTATATTTAGGATCACTCGACTGACTCCCAAGGGACTGTCAGTTAGACAAAGATTCCTCTACTCAGATCTACTGTGACTCCTCATGGTCACATACCCCATCCTGTCCTGCCTCAGACACAGAGGAGCGTAAGGTCTCCTCTCTCTACCTCTTCGGTGCACTTGCATCCTTACTATTATCACAGACGACCATGACCACAGCTGCCGCCGGCAGGTCATCATCCGAACGTGTCCTCCACCCAACCATTGAGTCCTTTGCTCAGTCCCTGCCTCCATATATTCCAGCCCCTAGAAGAGAGGGCTCTATGTCCAAAACTCTTAGGTCACCCTGGCTCTTTGCTGAAATTTAGGCAGGGATCCATTAGCTAACAGATTTGCCAGCCTATATGCCAGTGTGGAATGTTCAACAGATCAATAGAATAATACTTGAAGTATTATAATGCAGAAGGGAAAAGCAAATTTTGTCAGTTGCCTACTTTGCTTTCATTTCTTTTCACTTCTAATATTTCCAGTGTTTTGGGAAACCATCCAAAGCTTCTGACTGTACGAAGGTAATATGTACCATTGTGTAGCTGGGCTTTTCTTCCAAAAGGATTAAAAATTTTAGTGGTGGTGGCAGGGGTCAAAGAAGGACATAAGGGTCATGTGAGAGGAGGGCATGGGTGTGCAGAGAGCTTAAAATCGGAGACAGGAGATCTGGGTACTAGGCCATTGTACTTAATACCTCAGATCTTGCTTTTCCGCATCTGCAAAAGGAGATTAAAAATGCCTTTTCTGGCCCACTTCTGGGGGAGAAGGGAGTAATATAATTGGTAAAAACAATTGTTTTGAGGAGTTCCCAGGTGGTATAACGGTTAGGATTCGGTATTTTCATTGCTATGGCCCAGGTTCTATCCCTGGTCAGGGAACTGAGTGGCCAAAATAAAAAATTTTTTTGAAAAATAAGCAAAAATTGTCTTTATATAAGTAACAAAGTGTCATTATTTATGATGTGTTCTAGACCACTGATAGACCCCTGCATTCAAGCTATCTGGGCATCAAAGCACATTTTGGAGATTATCAAGTTAGTGCCAACAAATCTAATATATAGAAAAATAGTCAGAAGCACCTGAGTGTTTTGTGGATAGAAAAGTTTGAGATTCAGAACAAGTTCAGAGCTGGACAGTCTAAGAATAAAATTGTTCTTCCCCAGTAGCGCTAGTGGTAAAGAACCTACTTGCCAATGCAAGAGATGTAAGAGACGCAGGTTTGATCCCTGGGTTTGGAAGAACCCCTGGAGGAGGGTATGGTAACACACTTCAGTATTCTTGCCTGGAGAATCTCATGGACAGAGGAGTCTGGTGGGCAACAGTCCATAGAATCTCAAAGAGTCAGACATGACTGAAGCAACTTAGCACACACACAGTGCACCCATCCTTTAGAAGAGCTAGCTAGCAGCTTCTGGTGGTGGAACCAGAAACTCTCAGGCTCCAAGTAGGCCATAAGACAGCATCACTTGTACTCTTTTATAATATTATAAAAATAGACAAAATATCAAAAATATGTTTACATTTATCCTGTAAGACAAAGGATACTAGAGACCTAATGTATATAGAATCAGTTTACAAACTGATGCACTGTATGAATAAGTTCTCATTTGCAGACAGCACAGAATACACTATGTGGCCACTCGTGTTAATGCCCTTCCCCCTTCCATTCCTTTCTCTTGTTCTTTTATGTATGTATATCAGTTATGTTATTAAGTTAACAATGTAACTAAGCTATTATTAGCTTAATAATGTAACCAAGAATCTGATTTTTAGTAAGGGAGTAGTTCTTAGAAATTTAGGGATGTGGAACTCTGAATGAATAAAAATAATGCAATTACATTATTAATTTTAAAATTTATCATCACTGGTTAAAAATAAAAATTAAAGAATTAGAAGAAAATTTAAAAATTATCATCAGGCAATTCAGACTCACCACAAAATGTGATGTTTGTCAGGCAATCACTGTCACAATGCAGTTTGACTGTCTTGCAGACAACCTCAATAGTATCTTTAAATTGGCAGAGGCAGCAGGCCATACGGATAGGTAAGATCCTATAAATGGAAACGCAGAGAATCAAATTTGTGGTAAAGGAGTTACTCGAGTAGGTGGAAGAGGCAGGCCAAAGCCACCACAGGCCAGTGCATAAAGGAGTTAGTTATTGGGGCATGTGGATTGGAGAACTGGATACAAATCAGTTGGCCAGTTGCTGCTCTTGACTGTTGAAAATAAATATAGAGGCCAGAGGTGCCCAACAGAAGGATTAGGGTAGCAGTGGGGATGGTATGCCTAGATAAAAGGGAATAGGGACTAGAACTGGGTGACATTGATCTGTAGTTTAATTCAGAAATATCTCCTTCCAACCCCAAAACTTAATTTTGGGTTGACAATACACAGAAGTAGGCAGACTTCTAAGAAGAATCTGAATAAGTCCCCAACTTCCGGAGTCTCTTTATCAATTCCTATTTATGAGTAATAAATACATTAGAAATTACTCTAGGAATAAAAAAACAGTGTGTGGTTAAACAATAACAGAGATCTCATTGACCAAATCTGGACAATCTGAACATTCAAAAGAATAACATCATTATAACAAGTTATAATTAGAAGAGTACATGAATTCATAATGATATTCAAAAAGAAAAGTGAGGGAGCTCTGCTTTATAGAATAATAATAGGTAATAAATGAAAAAGGAATGATGAAATTAGAAAAGTGTCATTTTACAACTATCAGTGTAATAGTTGATTCAGACAAGGATTATCATTGATGCACAGCTGGATGAAGAGTTGTCTGGAAGTAGGATCTTCACCGATCCCAAAGTTCAGCCCACATATTATTTATCAATTACCAAGGGGGAAAATAACTTTACAATGGAGACATATGTAAGATATCACCTTAATCAAGTGATCAGACTTAGCATTAGGCCACTTGAAGTGATGAAGTAGGAAGGATACATCACTTACATAGTATTCTTCTCCAAAATGTTTACTTTGAATCCAACGAGGAAACAGCCAAGTCCAGATTGTGGGGCAAATTACAAAACAACTGGCTTAGACTCTTCAGAAATGCCAATGTCACAAAAGACACCCCCCCCCCCAAAAAAAAAATAGCAGGGAAACATTCTACATTAAAGGAAACAAAGACATGCCATGCAGTGCTAGTCTTTGATTGGACTCCACATCAAAACAAAACAGACTGAAAGAATATTATTGGCTTCAGGTCAAGATGAAGTAGCAAGGACCAATTTAAGCTTTTACCTGAAATAATGAAAAAATCAAATAAAACATACGAAAAACAGTTTTCAAGAAACTGGACCTCAGGCAATCAAGTTCAGTGAGCCCCAAGAGATGGGAGATAAATGAAGTGACCCTTATGATTGCCCTAGCTTACTTCTTTAAGAGAATTTCCAGGTCATGGTACAGGGTAGAGAAACCCTGGCACAGACTGGCAGACTCCCCAGCTAAAGAAATGGAGCCGAGAATCTGGGAAAACCAAGGTGATGGGAGTTCACAAAGCAGAGGACTAGAGGGAAAAGAAGTACAGACAAAGAACTCTGGAGGTATGCAGAGGGAGCTCTTAAGTATTCAACAAAATATTGGTCAGTGCATTTGTGTGTGGAATTAACTGATGCCAGGAAAAGAACCACATGAAAGGATTAGTAATAAGAATAACTGCAAAATTCTGGAAAGCAATTATCCTTCAATAAAAAATAAATTTTAAAAAATGAATAAATTTTTTTAAAGTAAAAAAAAAAAAGAGATTAACTGGATATTACACAGGGTTGGGAATAGCATCTGTTCCTACAAGTCAGAAGGGAAAACCTCATGATACACAGAAAGGACTTGTCTCAGTAGTTGCAAATAATGAATTCTACACTAAAGGTTACTTGAAGTGCTACCTAATGAATCTTAAAAGTTAGACCTAAAAGAATAAAATTGTTTTGAGTAACTTAACTTTACCCAAAACAAAGCCCAAGCATTTTATAAAAATATATAGCACACAATAAGCTAAAAAATTCACAATGTCTAGAATCACATGAAAAATTACCAGGCATGCAAATAAGCAGGAAAATGTGACCTATATTGGGGAAAAAAGCAATCAATCAAAACGAACTCATTTATCTATACAGATATTAGAATTAGTAGAAAAGGACATTTAAAAAATTATGATATATGAAAAAGCTGGCTGACTGGTTGACTGCTGGCTGGCTTAAAACTTAACATTCAAAAAACTAAGATCATGGCATGTGGCCCCATTACTTCATGGCAAATAGAAGGGGAAAAAGTGGTAGCAGTGACACGTTCTTTTCTTGGACTCCAAAAATCACTGCAGATAGTGACTGCAGCCATGAAATTAAAAGACACTTGCTCTTTGGAAGAAAAACTATGACAAACCTAGACAGCATATTAAAAAACAGACACACCACTTTGCCAACAAAGGTCTTATATAGTCAAAGCTATGATTTTTCCATTAGTCATGTATGGATGTGAGAGGTGGACCATAAAGAAGGCTGAGAATTGAAGAATTGATGCTTTTGAATTGTGGTGCTGGAAAAGACTCTTGAGAGACCCTTGGACAGCAAGGAGATCAAACCAGTCAATCCTAAAGGAAATCAACCCTGAATAGTCATTGGAAGGACTGATGCTGAAGTTGAAGCTCTAATACTTTGACCACCTAATGTAAACAGCCAACTCATTGGAAAAGAAGGAATGAAGGCAAAAGAAGAGGGTGACAGAGGATGAGATGGTTAGATTGCCTCACTGACTCAATGGGCATGAATTTGGGCAAACTCTGGGAGATGGTGAAGGACAGGGAAGCCTGGCAGTCTGCAGTCCATGGGGTCACAAAGAGTCAGATAAAACTTAGCGATTGAACAATAGCAACAACAACATACATGAAAAAAGTTACAACAACTGTATTTCATTTGTTACAAAACCCAGACTAAAGACTGAAAAGGTTAAGTAGAGGCATGGAAGATGTAAAACCGATCCAAATTGAATCTATTTTTTAAAAAAAAAATTATAGTGTGCTGTTTATTACATAAGTAAAATATATGAAAACAATACCACAAAGGCCAGGAGGGAAGAAATAGAAGTACCCTATTGTAAGATTCCTATACTATTAATGAAATTGTGTAATACCATTTGAAGATAGACTGTGATAAGTTTAAGATGCATACTGTAAACTATAAAGCAATCATTAAAATAACAAAACCTGAGTTATAATGAATTAGCCAACAAAGGAAATAAAATAATAAAATGTACTCAGGCTGAAAGTAGGAAGAAAAAGGAAAAAGGAAAAAGAAAGTACAGATGGGACAAATAGAAAGCAAATGGCAAGACAGTAGATTTGAATGTAGCAATATCAATAATTACATTAAATGTAAATGTTCTAATCACCCTAATTAAAAGACTCACACTAGACAAAAAAGCAAAAGCCAACTATATACAAGAACTATCTTCAATAGAAAATAAAAGATTAAAAGGATAGAAAAAATTATTCTATGCTAACACTAATGAAAAGAAAACTGGAGTGGATGTATCACTTTAAGACAAAGTCAGTGTCAAAGCAAGAATATTATCAGGGATAGAGAATGTTACTTCATCACGATAGAAAGGTCAATTAATGAATAAGAAATTACCTAAAAAAATATCCATTCAGTAACAGCTTCAAAATATATGAATGGAAAATGAGAGTGGCAAGGAGAAACAAACAAAAAAAATCTACAATTACAGTTAGGGATTTCAACATTCCTCTCTCAATAATTAACAGAACAAGTAGATAAAAAACCAGAAAGGACTAGAAGACATGAACAACACTATCAACCTACTTGACCTAATTGACATTTATAGAACACTCCACCCAAATAAAGGAAATCAGTCCTGAATATTCATTGGAAGGATTGACGCTGAAGCTGAAACTCTAGTACTTTGGCTACTTGATGCGAAGAACTGACACATTGGAAAAGACCCTGATGCTGGGAAAGATTGAAGGCAGGAGGAGAAGGGGACCAGAGGATGAGATGACTGGATGGCATCACCAACTCTACGGACATGAGTTTGAGTAAGCTTTGGGAGTTGCTGATGGACAGGGAAGCCTGGCATACTGCAGTCCATGGGGTTGCAAAGAGTCAGACATGACTGAGTGACTGAACTGAACTGAAGGTGTGTAATAAACTGTCACAATAAGGACCTACAGAAATAGTTTTTTAAACTGCAAAAAATTAAAACTTGACCCCTTCCCTCACACTATACATGAAAATTAAATGGATCATAGACCTAAATGTAACTATACAACTTCTGGAAGAAAACACAGGAGAAAATCTTTGTGATTTTGGATTAGGCAATGGGATCTCAGAAGAAGATTTTTTAGGTAAGACACAAAAAAGCACAAACCATACAAGAAAAATTGCTAGAGTTCTTCAAAGTTTTAAAACTTCGGGTCTTCAGAGACACTTTAATAGAATGAAGGTAAGTCACAATAAAGAGAAGATATTTACTAAACACATATCTAAGAGAAAGGACTTATTTTTCAGTGCTCTATAAAGTAGTCTTAAAACTCAATATAAATATCCAATTAAAATGGATTTGAACAGACACTTCATTTTAAAAGATACCTGCACATGAATAGACACTCAACAGCATCAGCTATCAGCAAATTAAAGCACAATGAGATTTAACCACATACTTACTGCTGCTGCTAAGTCGCTTCAGTCGTGTCCGACTCTGTGCAACCCCATAGATGGCAGCCCACCAAGCTCCCCGTCCCTGGGATTTTCAAGGCAAGAACACTGGAGTGGGTTGCCATTTCCTTCTCCAATGCATGAAAGTGAAAAGTGAAAGTGAAGTCGCTCAGTCATGTCCGACTCTTAGCGACCCCATGGACTGCAGCCCACCAGGTTCCTCTGTCCATGGGATTTTCCAGGCAAGAGTACTGGAGTGGGGTGCCATTGCCTTCTCTGACACACCTACTAGGAAGGCTTGAATTTTTTAAAACAAATATAAGGATCAGGTGAAGATGTGAGCAATCCCAACTCTCAGACATTGCCAGTGGGAATGCAAAATGGAGCAACCACTTTAGAAAACAGTTCAGCAGTTTCTTTAAAAGTTAAATATGCACTTAGCATATGATGTAGCAATCCCACCCTTAGGTATTTTACCCCAAAGAAGTGAAAATATATATTTGCACAAAACATATGCTCACACATGCATGTGAATATTTTTAGATGTTTTGTTCATAACAGCCAAAAAATGAAACAACTCAGCTGATGTTCATCAACTGATAAATGCATAAACAAACTATATACCCATACAACTGGAATACTACTCAGCATTATTGCTGAGGAATGAACTACCAATAGGTGCAACTGCATCAATAAATCTCCAAGGAGACTGGCTAAGTGAAAGGAGACAAAAACAAAAGCTACAGACCACATAATTTCATGTTTAAGATACTATGGAAAAGGCAAATTATAAAGACAAAAATCAGATTGGTGGTTGCCAGGGGCTGGTAGTGGGAGGAGGAGACTGACTACAAAGGGACATGAGGGGTCTTTGGTGGGGTGCATAAGTTTTCTATATCTCAAATGTAATGGTGGCTACAGAACTATAAGTCTGTCAAAACACATCAAACTGTATATTTTTAAACAGTGAATTTTATTAAATGAAAATTATACATCAATAAACTTAAAAAAATAATAAACCTAAAAATACACAAGTGAGTGAAAATAAATATAATAAAAATCAACTTACAGTTTTTCCAATTCAAGGGTCATCATGAGAATGCTTTCAATTGTTGTAAGTGACACTTGTGTTGTTCCCATGTCTCTGAAGGAGAAGCCCAAGCATGTAAGATATAAACATATAATATAAACACAAATTCTAAACTTAAAATTTTTAACATGTGATTACTTCAATTCTGACTTCTTGTATGCCCTAGATAATTCCAGGGAACTCTTATTGGAGAAATTTAAATTTGCATCATCAAACTAATGACCCTGGTGCTGAACAGTAAAATCTTTTTTTATTATCCTGACTTCTCATTTTCAATTACATATACCTCTCTTGATAAAATACTGTACCCCTTACTCCCTTTTGCTTTCTGGGATAAATAATATTCCTACATGCACCTACATGTTCCATATCTATGTGTGTTCTTCAACACTGCTCTCCTCCTCTGCTGGCTGTCTTACTCATATACATTCTTCAACTTTTTTCTTTGCCAACGACTCTTTTATCAATAACCTAGTTAAAATTTAAATTATGACTTTTTAGCCAAAATACTCAACCTGTGACAAAAGTAAGAAAGAGCAGAAATCATCGCAAGGGCCATGAAAATGCTGTAATACTCACAAATATTTTAATGCTGGCAATTTAAAAAGATATGAATCTTCCACTGCTGTCAAAGGATTACGATTGAGAATTCTGAAAAATGGAATGAAATTAAAATTGTCCACATTTTCAATGATGTCCGAGAAAGTTTACATTCATTTTTGGGGCATACAGAACTTGGTAAAAAAAAATAATCTTTTTCTGTCTTTACCTATAAATCATCCTTAGAATCCATAAAGTACTATTCCTTTGGGAATTACCCAAGTCTCTAGATGATAAGAAGGAGAAGAGAAAGGAAAAAAACAGAAAAATAGTGGATAGCCAAGAAAAAAATATGCCAAAGAACCTTTCAGGCCAAAAACCCTAGAAGAGACTATGCTGGTAGGAAGCCCTTGCTCCATAAGAAATACTATTTCTAAAGGCCTCCATAATTCAAGGTGTTTTTCTTTCATTTTTATAAAATCTTTAAAGTTTCATAGTTTAAACTACCAAATTAAAGACAAAAATTGGACAGTTCCTTGATTTTGGAGCCAAAGAAGAAGAGATAAATACAAGAGGAACTGGCGAAGGTCATATTCCCGTCACGTGGTTCCATGTGTATCCTAGGATCATAGCCTTTGCTACAGTGTATGTAGTCACCTGTTTGCCTGTCAGTCTCGTAGGTTGTCAACAACTTGAAAGCAGTGACCACACTATATTGTCATTGTTATCCCTGTGCCTGACAGAGTGCCTAATATTTACTAGGTATTTAATAAATATTTGTTGAATAAATAAATAACATTTTATTTATATATCAAAAAAATGAAAAAATTAATTTTTTTGGAACAAAGTGTTTTTTTTTTCAAAGTTTTATTCCAAAATACTGGAATAGATTTTCTTCTTAGTTCTTTAAAACAAATAAGGAAAAGGAAAACCAAGAAGAAACAGGAAGAAAGGAAAGAAAATCTGTCTTTAGGGTAACTCCACCCAAGAATCACTGGCATATTTTTGCAGAATATTATAAAGCTAATTATCACAACTAACATCTGTTGGGTTGCTAGGCATCTGTGATTGGCATTTAACATTTAATCCTCTTAGTAACCTTATGTGATCAACTTATTACCCCATTTTACAAATGAGGAAACTGAGGCACAGAGAAGTTATATAACTTGTTCTAAGTCATCAAACTAGTAAGAAGTAGAACTGGAATTTGTACTCAGTTCTGACTCCAAAGCCTGTGTTTAACCAACATGGGGGAAAAAATGAGGGATTAAAAATATCTGTTATGTTAACCTTAATTGTGAGAACACTAAATATAGAAATACCTTTTCAAATTTCATCTATCCATTTGGGAAAGCCTCTATGAGAATTGCACTTTCTCTTTTTCTTTCTTTTCCCTAACCATCTCCCATGATTAAATATTTAATTAGCCTATGGTCACTGAGATTTTAAACAATGGTGCAGGCAAATCAGAAAAACTGATAGAGTAAGGACATCTGAAAATTCATCCCTCCATAAAAGCAATGACAACAAAGCTGACCAAAAAATGGTCAGAATCAACTTTTCCTGAACTCTGGAAATTTAACCAACAGGCCTGCAGCAAACCAGGGAACCTATTCAAGGAAAATAAATTAATTTCTGTAAGAACAATGAGATCTGTGTTGCCCAATTTTACAAATGAGGAAACTTTGTTCTCTTGTTCCAGACCTTTGCTCTCCATGCCGTGAAAAACAGCCCACATCTCTGGTACCAGAGGAAGCAGAATGGACTGGGAGGGCCTTCAAAGCCTCACTTCCAAAGCACTATCATTATTTTACATGTTTGGGAGTTCCCTGGAAGACCTTACTTGAAAGGTTTGCCTTTGACCTGACTGGAAGCTACTTAATGTAAAAAGCCTCTTTTCAAGTGGTATTTTTGGAAAATATTTTCAAGTAAATATTTTAACAAGACAGTTGTATGAGGCCGTGGATAACAGTTTGAGGCAAAAAAAAAAACAGCCTAACCAAAAAGCTTACAAGAAAAGCTGAGGGGCTTCCCTGGTGGCTCATCGGTAAAGAATCCACCTACCAATGCAGGAGACACGGGTTCGATCCTGGTCCAGGAAGATCCCACATGCCGCGTGGCAACTAAGCCCCCGTCCCACAACTATTCAGCCTGTCCTCTAGAACCTGGGAGCTGCAACTACTGAGCCCATGAGCTGCAACTACTGAAGCCCTTGCACCCTAGAGCCAGCGCTCTGCACAAGAGAACCCACTGCAATGAGAAACCTGCGCACCACAACTAGGGAGTAGCTCCTTTTCTCTGCAACTAGAGAAAAGCCTTCACAGCAAAGAAGAACCACAGCCAAAAATAAAGAAAGAAAGAAAAGCTGAGGAATGAGATGCCCACAGAGACTCTGTAATGTTCCAACACATTCCTGGGAAACTAGAAGACCACAAGACATATTCTTGGGAATCTAAAAATAACTATTAGCCTTAATTAAAGAGTTCAGCAAAGTTACAGGATGTAAGATAAATATACAAAAATTAGGTATATTTCTACACAACAGTGCTACAAACACGAAATTAAGAAAACAATTCCATAAATAACAGCATCAAAACAAATAAAATACTTGGGAAAAATTTTAACCAAAGAAGCGCAAGATTCACACTGCAAAGTACGAAACATTGTTGAAAGAAGTTAAAGAAGGTCTAAATAAAATGTAAAGACATGCTTTGTTCAAGGATAGGAAAGAAACATTATTAAAATTTCACCACTTCCCAAACTGACCTATGGTTTCAGGGCAATGTCTATCAAAATTCCAGCTGACTTCTTTCCAGAAATTGCCAACTTAATTCTAAAATTCACATGGCAATTCAAGAAAAAAAGAAAAACTGAAACAATGTTGGTGGTTTCAAAACCCAGCTTAAGGCTACTGCAATCACAGTGTGGGGCTGGCATAAGAATAAACATTTTAGATCAATGGAATAGAATTGACAGTACAGAAATAAAGCCTTATATTTATGGTCTATTGATTTTCAACATGGGTGCCAAAGCAATTAAATGTGGAAAGAGTAGTCTTTTCAAATGGTGCTGGAACAAATGTACATCCACACACAAAATAATGAAGCTGGACTCTTACATGTCACACCATATAAGAAAATTAACTCCAAATGGATCAAATATCCAAAGTAAGAGCTAAAGCTATAAAACTCTTGGAAAAGAACAAAGGAGTAAATTTTTATGACCTTGCATTGTGTATGCGCTGTGTTCAGTTACTCAGTAAGGTCTGATTCTTTTTGGACCCCATGGACTGTAGTCCACCAGGCTCCTCTGTCCATGGAATTTTCCAGGCAAGAATAATAGAGTGGGTTGCCACTTCCTACTCCAGGGGATCCTTCCTGACCCAGGGATCAAACCCACATCTCTTGCATCTCCTGCATTGGTAGGCAGATTCTTTACCGCTATGCTACCTGATACCCAAAGCATAAACAATCAGAGGAAAAATAGATGAACTGGACTTCATAAAAATTTAAAATGTTTGTGCTTCAGAAGACATTATCAGGAAAGTAAAAAAAAAAAATAGGACTTCCCTGGAGGTCCAGTGGTTAAGACTCCATACTTCCAATGCAGGAGACACGGGTTCAATCCAGGAAGATTCCACATGCCTCTGTGGGCAACTAAGCCCCTGCGCCACAACTACGGAGCCCATGGTCCAGAGCCACAGCTACTGAAGGCTGCATGCTCCAGGGCCCTCGAGCCACAACTACTGAAGCCTTTGCGCCCTAGAGCCTATGTTCCATGAGAAAAGCCTCTGCAATGAGAAGCCTGTGCACTGCAACTAGAGACAGTCTGTGCCCCAACGAAGACCCAGCATAGCCAAAAATAAATAATAAATAAATAGAACAGTGTGTACATGTCAAAAAAAGAAAAAATGTGAGTGTCACAGGTTTGGTTAAGCACAGTTCCTCAAACTTTGAGAAGCTGAAAAACAAACTTTTGGCATTAAAACCTATCGGATTACTGATGGGTTCCTGTGACAGTGAATTCCTTCACTTTTGCATCTTCTCCTGTCCCCTTTTCCTTAGTCATCAGAATGACTATATATATGAAAATAGAATGATTATAAAGCAATAGGTAGCCAAAACGATTTGGCAAAGTTTGTTATCTTTCTCCAGAATTATCTCAATTTTCCAACCCTTTGCTTTTTCTTAATAGCTTGCCCATGGTCTCGGTTCCAGGAGCTCACTGTTTTTTCTTAACCAAGCAGTCCTTTTCTGAGATTAATATCCTTGAGTTCATCCCTAGTGAAATAAAAACGTGCAGCCACTCTAAGCTACCCTGTTTCTGCCTCCTGGCTTTAGGGGAGTCTTTTATTCACTAAGCTTGTGTCTGGGCAAAGGGAAGAATGAGTGAGAATGAGTCAACAACTCAATGCGGGGGCTCCCACAGCACCTACTTTCCCACAAACCAAAGGACAAATGGTTTTAGATTCTCAGCGGACACTACTACAGACCATTTCCATCTTGGCCCGATTCCCTCATTTTACACATAAAAGGTATGCCGACTTCTAGTCCATTACCTTTTTGATTCATGAGCTTATCTTTATGGAACAAAACATGGGAACAGGTTTTTTTTGGGGGGGCAACTTTAAAAAATAAGTTTTATTTGAATAATTTCAAACATAAAATGTTACAAAAACAAACAGATCAAGGAATATGTGTATATTTTTACCCAGATTCCCCTAGGCAACAGTTTTTATTAGCCTCAAAGACCATCTCAGAGTCAAAGTTTAAGGAATGCTATCCTAAATGGTTTTGAAAAATATATCTTATTTAAAGAATAAAGCTCAAATGTTTCCCCATCATCCTTCTGCTGTAGAACACAAAATAAGGGAACATTTCTTACCTCTTATTTTTTTCTCCAAATTCTTCTATACAGGTCCAGACAGATGGGCTACGTTTCCTTTCTATTAACTGAGGAGACAGAGAAGAATTGAGGACTGAAGCTTGTCATCACTGTCCTGAGTGTACTGAAATCCTAACAGCTTTAGCTGAAAAAATGTCCAAAGCAGGCAGTGAAAACAAATTTCAAATAGGACAAACTCCACAACTGTCTGTGCTAGAATCCCAAGGCAGGCAGGGCAAACTGGTTCCTTGGAGGAAGGCAGTCAGAGAAATGAGCAGAGTGACCTGGACCCTGTTCCAATATATTTGAAGTACTTGGGGATGGGCTGACCCCCTTTCCTTTATTCATCTACATAGGTCCATGAGCCATGAGAACATGACTCCCCACGTGAGGCTCCTCAATACAAGACCTCCAGCTGCACCACGTAAACCCTTTCTTGGGGTGGGGTGGGGGCAGCCTAAAGAATTTGAAGTGGTGAATCTGTCTTTCCATCCAAGTTCTGAGAATAGCCTTGAAGGAGAGTCCCTGGCAGTGAGGAACAGAGAAAGAAAGAAGGGAATCAGGCAGACCTGAGTTTGAATTCTGATTGTCACTTTCTGGTACAGTGACTTGAATAATGAACATCTCTGTCTTACTTAGTACCATTTACCTTGTAAGGCAGGTAAGGATTAAGTGAAAGAGCATATGCAAAGCACCCAGCAAGCATGGGCAGAGAGTAGGTGCTCAGAAGTGATGATGTCATATTTGCACTGGCCAGAAACCCTGAGAATGCCCAGAGGTGGCCTGGCCAAGAGCTCCAGAAGTGTGGAATTATCACAGGGAAACCAGAGCTCTCTGCTCTAAAGGCGCTATTCAAGTTAGAAGCCAACTTCAAGATGCAAGGTACAAAAAGCCAAATTGTCATCATTTAGTTCTTACTACAAGGAAATGAAGAGCTGCGTAGACCATTACTTGCAAAGCTCATAAGTGGTTTTGCCTCTTATTAACAGTGTGAATGTAGCTAGGCAAGTTATCCAATGTCTCTGAGTTTTAATTTCCTCATCCCCAAAATGGGGATAATAAGAGTTGTTGGGAGAATAAAAGTGTGAAGTAATATGTATTCATTATTTACCATGTATCAAGCAGCATGGTAAAAGCTTTAGGCACACTATCTTACTTGTACACTAAGTATAGTGCCTGGAACATAATAAGTATCTAAGAGATGTAGGTATTAAAGAAATGTTATAGGGCAGAGGAAGAATTACTATGCTTTTGACAGAAAGAAGAAACGTTGTAATATAGGTGGTAAGAATATGATGCAGTTGGGAGAAGAAAAGTAGAGTAGTTGCTATGTGTGACAATCTCAAATTTTTGAACTATTAAAAAAAAAACCAAACCAGCCACCCTAAATCATCCCAGAGGACAGACCTGAGTGAGTTCTTTTTCATTTTTAATGTTGATGCCTTTCTGAATCTGAGAAGCTGCCAGGATTCCAGTACATACCAAAAAGTGATGACAACACCCTCAACTGTGCTAACTTTTGTGTGTACACAGCTATCTAAAGAAAACCAAGGCCAGCTGACTGGGAGGCTTGGTGACCACAGCTCAATTTGCCTTCATGGTATGACCACATCCATCTCATCTATATTCTCAACAGTGAGGTAAATAATTCAATAGGGACGAGGCTTTGGTTTTCCTCTAATTCTCTCATAATGCTTATGTTCTTGGTACAATATTGATGTACCACAGACAAGCCAGCATGTGAACATGCCCTGTCTGGATAATTATATAGCCTTTCTACATTGTACAGTCCTTCAGTTTCTAAAATCATGGAGCTTGTATTGTTAAAAACAATGAAGTGACTAAAAGAATTAAAAAAAAAAATAAGCCATCAGTCTGGACCTGTGTAGGTGAATGAAGGAGAAGCACTTTAAAGTCAGAAAAAAAAAGTATACTTAACATTTAGGATTATCAACCATTGCTGGTTTTCCATAATACATTTCATTCCTGATTTCATCTGAAAGAAATATGATTATTACTGCCATTCACAAAGTTGTATTTAGTTAAAAAGCCCTTGGTTGAACTTTGAGGTGGATTTTATGTTCAGAATAGACTACCACACTGCTAACCTGTTTATCTGGTGTTTGTCAATAACATACAGGCTTCATTTAAGAAACCTACTGTTATAATTACCTGAAAGCCAGTGATGAATCAAGTTTTTGTAGGGCCTGAACCTTATCTACTTTGGGAAATTCTAATAAAAGCACACAAAGACAAGAATACAAAAATTGCTAGGACCACTCCCAAGACCTTGGAAGGGACTTATGCAAGTGAGGAGACCTGAAGCTTAAGCTTCATTTAATTCATGATAAATCCACTGCAGCTGGGCCCTTTACCAAACTTACTTAATGCAAGGGAAAATACCATTTCAACTTATAAACACCCTAGTCATTATAGGTAATAAAATGACTTAACTCGAGGGGTAGCATTGTCTCTTGGCATTTTGCCTTTGGAAAGAGATGCAATAAAGTTTATATCTCACCATGGCAAATGTTGCCTGAAGCAAATTAGCTTTGTCTAGTAGAAAGACTTGGCCCAAAACAAAGAGCCCTACCCTCAACACACACTTACTATATTGTGACAATCTTTTGATGGTAAAACTTTGAATGAGTTTTAGGAGTACAGTATTAATTTATTTCCAATAGCAGATAGCTCAAATTCTTTCATTACCTTTTCCTGTCACTTATGATAAACACAAAAATTCAAAAGGAACAAGTTGGTATCTCTTCCCTTAAGAATCTTTTCTGACCCACCACCCATTTTCTGCTTTGTTGCCCCTGCCCACCTTGTTACCCTGCTACATAGATGCTAGCATGGCTCTCATATATTTTCCCATCAACATCCATCTTCCTCTTTTCAGTGTGAAAGCTTCCTGGGGACAAAGTCCTTGTCCTATTCTTTGTGTCCCCAGCACAGCACTTAGAATAGTGCTGACACACAGTGGGTATGGCACTCTGTGAATGTTTTTGAATGAATTCATTAATTTTTGTCAACTGTGATTCCACGATTTATTTTCCTGTTGCCTGCATAACCACAGTGAAACTCTGATTCTTATTAGGGACTCTTGGCATTATAAAATGTTTAGAAAACGTGGTGAGTTTAAGACATTGTATTGACGCTACTGAAACCTCCTGGTGGAGGGCCCTTAGGAGCCTGCTCTCTGGCACTCTGGCCAAAGAAAAACTGACCCTGGATGCTCTTTCCCCAAAGTAGGCATCAGGAAACTCATGAGGGGTGGGGGTGGGGGGTGGGAGGCCACCCCAGATAGGGATCTGTAGCTCTGGACACACCCTCAACACCTTCATTAACTGGAAAGGAACTGTGTGAAACTGGATTTCTGAGCCACAAGACAGTAAGAGAGTCTTTACCAAAGCCAGGCATAGATAGACAAGGCTCTTTACCTTGACTTGGAAATTCCCTTCTGGCCATGGAATGTACTCACTATGATTTGCTTGTGTCACAGAGAAATCACAGAATTTTTGAGCAGAAGGGGTATAAAACCCACACTTGTTATTGAAGAGTAGTCAGGAAAAGTCTATAAAATTAGGCTACAGCAATGTATTTTCTTTATATTTTTCACACTACTGAACAAAAACATCATCTTTTTCCATAACTGAAAGGTTCCTACTGGCCACAGATAATTCACTTCAGAGGCATACTTCTTGAAAAACAAGGATCTGGGTGATTGGGAGAGCCCTGTGGTGGATGTTCAGGAATTCGTTTTCCTTTACCATTTAAAAGAAGCTAATGGTTGAGGAAGCATCCACACCTTTCGTTCCATGAAGAATATTGTGCTAAACTTAGATCTTTGCACCTCTGCACTGCATAGATTTTAAGCATTTCAGAACTTTGCACATGAGCAGGAATCAAAGTTAAATTAAAAAATGGAACTTCATGGACCCTTCCCGTATTGGAGCAGCATCAGTGGGATTCCATGACAGTGCTAATTTGAATGTTTTTGCTTGGTGCCTTTTATTGCCTGTGCCAAAGATCAGTGCTATGGAAACCAGACCATTTCATACATAGGAGTTAGATAAGTCTCTTGGCCTCTTTGTACCTTAGTTTCCTCATTTGAGAAAAAAAAAGGGATCTCAAGACATACTTTTCAGGATTTATACTAGGCTTACACCCAGGTAACCAATAACTGTATGATGTTTTTACACACAGTTTTATACATGTATTCATCTTCTATTTCACTTACAACTTGTGTAAAAACTGCATTCCATGCCAGGCCTGAAATGTTCCAAAGCTCAGTTCTGTGAGTAAATTGCAACCAAGATTTCTATAAAAAAAGACACAAGCAAAAGAAGAAGAAAAAAATATATTCTTTCAAAACACTTATCCTTTGGCAGTAAATCTAATTTATATATGATGAAAATAACATCAGTACTCCCTCCATACACTAAAGAAATTTCACTGTGGAAGATAATATGATTTACACTCTAATGATTATATATGTGGTGCATTTAGCAAATGCTCAATAAATGCTTATGTTAAGTGATCTTTACTTCTCTAGGAAAGCAGCACTATTGACATTTGAGACTGGTTAATTCTATCTTGTGCTGGGGCTCTCCTGTACACTGTTGAATGCTTAGTTGCATCTCTGGCCTCTGTCCACTAGATGTCAGTAGTACATACAGTTCTAACAAGCAAAAATGTCTCCAGACGTTGCCAAATGTTGCTGCATGCAAAATCACCCTGGTGGGGAACCACTGTTCTAGAACGATTCACACTGATCTATGTAATAATTCTCACACTCATCTTTGCCAGAGACAAAAAGGACTTGTTATATAATTTTAATAATATTTCAAAATGAGTAACAAGTTAATTTGATAAAAGTTAAGTTTTCTAAAAATTCCAAATATAATGAAGTTATATTTGTAACTTACATAAACTGCAAAAAAGGAAGTGGTTCAAATGAACGTCTTTCAATAGACTGTATTTTATTGCAGGATAAATCTCTAGGAAAAGTAAAAGGAAAATATTGCCTCAATTAGCTATTAGATATCTATTTAATAGGAATAACTAGTAGAGGTTAGAATGATAAAAACAAATAAGTAGCTTTGATCTAAATTCCAAACCTTAGGAATTGTTATTTGAACCTTCCAGAGTCCCTAACCCTGCCTTCACCTCTCTCAAGAAATCTCTATAAATAAAATATATAACTACAGAACTTTTTTAAAGTTTATATCATAATCACCTGGAAGGCAGCTATCACTATGGACTGTGTTAGTCGCTTGGTCGTGTCCAACTCTTTGCGATCCCATGGACTGTAGCCCGCCAGGCTTCTCTGTCCATGGAATTCTCCAGGCAAGAATACTGGAGTGGATTGCCATTCCCTCCTCCAGAGGAACTTCCCAACCCAGGGATTGAACCCTGGTCTCCTGTCTTGCAGTCAGATTCTTTACCATTTGAGCTACAACTATAGATCTTGATAAATTTTGGAGGTAATCTTTCCTGACAGCAGAATTGATTAGATTCCCACCTTTTGTAGTCTTTTCAAATTCTAGATTATGAGCTCAAAGTTTTTATCTCCAATTACAATTTCTAACATTAAAAGGAATTTTCTTATATTTACACACCTCCCAATTTAGTTCTGTTTTTCTAGGCCAATTCAGTACTAGCAGAAATAAAAGATATCCTTTCATACAACCTGAAAGGAAGTTACTCCCCTCACTGATATGTAACTTTACCTAATTCAGTATTATACTTTCTATCACATTGATTTTTATTTGAAAATACCCACTCTTGACTATAGCTGACTATCCTGTTTCCATTGACATCAGCTTGTGCCTCATTTCACCTGGATGAGTATAACTGTCTTCTGACTGGTGTTTCTATCTCTGCTGTCTCCATTCCTAAGCCAGCCTCTACATGATCATTAGTTTAACTCTCCAGAAAGTGAAAGTTGCTCAGTCGTGTCCGACTCTTTGCGAACCCATGGACTGTAGCCTGCCAGGCTCCTCGGGCCATGGCATTCTCTAGGCCAGAATACTGGAGTGAGTAGCCATTCCCTTCTCCAGGGTCTCTTCCTAACCCAGGGATCGAACCAAGGTCTCCCGCATTGCAGGCGGATTGTTTACCATCTGAGCCAATTTCCAGAAGTAGTCTTCAATACCAGCACCATTTGTAAACTTACTGAAGCTACAAATACTCAGCCCTACTCTGGACTGATTGAATCATTAACTACAGAGGTGGAGCTTGTGTTTCAACAAGCCCTCCAAGTGACTGATTCTGCTGCAGGCTCAAGTCTGTCCTAGAGCACTGCTGTGGTAACATGGTTGCTTGGCACGATATTCTGGGTTTGTCCCCCAATGCCCTTGATAACCTGGCTCTCATCTCCTATTCTCTGTACTGGAACTCTATGGGTACTCAAAGTGTTTTTCCTGTGTTTTGTCTTTCTCCCAATTTTATTTTGCAAGCTTATTCTTCCCAAGATGTCTGTTGGATGATACCAATGGCCCTTTAAGGTTCCGTTTGAATAGCATTGCTTTAGCAACATCTTCCCTGATCCAGTTAGAAGTCTTTTTTTCCCTCTTCTATGCTCCAACACCAGCTTACAGCTCTCATTGCCCTTATTCTTTTCTAAAAAAAGAAAGCTACTTTTGCATCCCATTTCCTCTCAGCATAAAACTCCTTGAATGTATAGGTTAGATCCTGTTTATGCACATTGTCTATCATGTTTGCAGCCAATGCATGGACATAAAGCAAACTCAAATATTTATAAAATCAACAAATAGGGAGTGAATAAGAAGAAAATGACTGTTTTAAAAGAAATGGAGCTTTATTATTTCATGGCTCCCTCTTCTGTGCCTCTACTGCACTTTGTCGTTATGGTTTGAGTTTCTATGTTTATTTTCTCTGTGAGATCATGAATTGCTAGAAGGAATTCTATCTTAGCCACTTTTGTGTTTTCAACACTAGGCTTAGTTCTTAGCATATTCTTTTTTAGCTTTTTTATTGATTGGCATTTTTAAAACAGAATGAGCATATGGATGCTAACATGAAATAATCAGCTTATAAAGTATTTCATAGAAGTAAGGAAGGGCCTAATCCACTGAGTAAGTTATCTTTGTTTTTCTCCAAACTGTGTTTGTAAGGTTTGGCGCCTAGACAGAAGAAAAGAAAATGTTGCCCCTAAGGCTTTGAAGGTTTGATAATTAAAGAACTATTGTTAGGGTGAGGTGAGACTCTTTATATACTCATCTCCTTTAACTCTTTTATCTTTGCAAAAATAATCTACTTGTTAAACAGCATCCTAAATTGGCTTAATAAGGGTTAATAACATACAGATCTTGGATGCCATGGACAAAGGACAAAAATTGAGCTTTTAAAGCAAAGAACACAGTATCTCCTTATCCCTAAATAAACAGAAACATTATGCAAGCATTTCACCTTGGATAAAGAAGCTACAGAGGGCATTCCCTGGATGCCCAGTGGTTAGGACTCAGCACTTCCACTGCCAGGGGCCTGGATTCACTCCCTGGTGGAGGAACTAAGATCCTGCAAGCCACACTGCGGCCAAAAAACAGAGGCTGGAGAGACTTTTGTTTTGTACCTAGTGAAGTTAGGGGCATTTCTGATATGTTCATTTAGTGTAAACATTTCTAAATATACCACTTACACATCATCTTTAACATTTTTAATTTCATGCAATTCTTGCATGAAATCCTTAACAATAGTCTGTTCTTTTGATAACTTAATGTGTTCTTGACAAAGTACTGTTTACATAGTTCATCTGCTTAAATATTTAACATTTTAGTGTTAAACGTTAAATATTTAACATTTTCCTGTTAAACGTTAAATATTTAACATTTTCCTGTGTTTTATCTTTCTCTCACTTCCCTTTCACAAGCTTATTCTTACCAAGATGTCTATTGATGATACCAATAGCCCTTCAAGGTTCCGTTTAAACAGCATTGCTTTAATAGCATCTGATCCAGTTTTAGCTTAGATTACATTATCAAAATTATGAGTTAATGGCATTCACACTAATGTAAGTGCTCTATATTTTCTTTCCTGTCAGTGACATTTTGAAGTTAACTTTAATTCCTCTCATTTTACTAAAACAAGTTTTTCAAACGTTTTCCAAAAAGGCCAGGGAGTAAATATTTTAGACTTTGCAGGCCACACAGTCTCTGTCACATATTTTTCTTTGTTTCTCTCTATTTTTTTCATTTACAACCCTTTAAAAATCATTCTTAACTTATGGGCTGTATAAAAATGGACCATGGGTCAGATTTGAGTCATAAACAAAATATAAGCAGATAGTATATGAACATTTATATATAATGTTACAGACATGGGAGTCTATAATTGCTCAGATACTATTACCACTTTTCCTCTACAACTAAAGGGTATTTTCCCATCTATATCTTGTCTAAATAATTAAATTAAAAAATTAATAGGAGGTATTTAATGGTAGAGATGGGCTAGGGCCCTACACAGACTTACAAAATTGTAGAATTGTATGGGTGGAAGAAATTGAAGAGACTATCTAATTTGAACCCGTAGTTACTTTATAGATAAGATCTCATAAATAAATATGATTTACTAATTAACTTACAAATATTGGAGGGATAGCAAGCCTTCAAATGAGTCCTTGTGTAATTCAGTCAAAGAATTTTCACTGAGAATTCTGAAAAGTGAAAATGTTATTTCTCAATCAAAATGCAAAACAACTACAACCATTTACTACATAGTACTCCTGTAAGTGGAGGAAGCTAAGTAATGGTGCCATCTAAACACCCTAATTCTTACTTAATTTAAGGATGGCGATTTCTGCTCTGTTTTCATTTAAACCTTTTTCCTCACATCCTTTGCTGTGTCTCTTTCCATCACACACACACACACACACACACACACACGCTCCATCCAAATCCACACTCTTCCCACCAAATCATACAGATCATACAGTTAATGCCTACTCTCTAGATCACAGGATTTCTGTTAGAATCCAACTCTGGCAGCACCAACACTACAGAGGTCCTTCCCTCTTCTCTTTTCCCAAACCTTATTGGGAAGTTCCACACAGAACTGTATCAGGGCTGAAAATGAAGCCATTTGATTTTTTTCCTCTAGTAAAACTTTTTTGAAAATTATCCACATATTTTAAAAATATGCATAAAATATATACAATTGTTCAGTTTAATAATGATGAAACAAATCCCTGTGTGACACCACTCATGTCAGAAAAGAATTCTGTCAGCATCTGAGGAGTCCCTGGGCAGAACTTTCCAATCACAGCTCTCTCTCTGACTTCAGTACAGAAGAAACTCTATAAAGATATCAGAGGTCAGTTTCTCTTGCCTGCAAGAATCCCCTTCCTTGCAATATTAACAGTGGCACATCCTTCAGGAATCTTGGGGATCTGAGCACATGCTATGTTGCCTTGTGAATATTTTCACTGAGTTCTGCATTTAAAACATTGTTTTTCCTTACAGTGTATCTTGGTCACATATTTATGTTAATTCCACCTCATATCTTGATTCCATCTCATAAATTAATTCTTTACACATAGTTTATGAGAATTAAAGTATTACTCCCTGGAAACTCTGCAACTCAGTTATAAGGTGGTTCATACTATATAGAATACAGGCATATACATTTTTAAAGGATCACTAAAACAAAAACACAGAAGACTTTATTCCCACAGAATTCCCACAAAGAACTCTTGGAGTCCTGAAAATGCTTCAAAGATCCTGACCTCACTTTGAAATTCACCATGTTAGAAAGAAGAGCAGTCTTGGACAGCTGAAGGGGGAATGGTCAAGATGGTGTTTAGATGGTGCTAAGACTGATTCTCTCCTCACCTCTGTTAAGTAGTGTTTTCATATTTCCATGGAAATGATCCAAAAAGAAAAAACAAATCAATATGTCCAACAACATTTATAGTAACCCTTTGCATAACTTTGAAAGTTGGAAAGAACTCTACCTCCCCACATCACATAACAAAACTGTGTACACCATAGGTGATATACAAAAGTCACAGGAAATAATGATATATGAAAAAGGTCAAGACAGAAGAGACTCCGCAGACTGTAGCCCGCCAGGTTCCTCTATCCATGGGATTTCCCAGGCAAGAATACTGGAGTGAGTTGCTATTTCCTCCTCCAGGGGATCTTCCCAATCCAGGGATCGAATCTGCATCTCTTATGTCTCCTGCAGTGGTAGGCAGGTTCTTTACTACTAGCTCCACCTGGGAAGCTCAAATCAATATGCCCAATGACGTTTATAGTAACCCTTTTCATAACTTCGAAAGTTGGAAAGAACTCTATCTCCCCACATCGTGTAACAAAACTGTGTACACCATAGGTGATTTACAAAAGTCACAGGAAATAATGATATATGAAAAAGGTCAAGACAGAAGTGAAACTCATATGTATTAGTTATAAGTCTGAACACTGACAAGGGTTCAATCAGTACAGTGAAGAGATGGGGCTGATCATGAGCTCTTCACGGCACTGTCTTTTTTGATTGGCTCATGCCCATATCAGACTAGTTGGGAGTTTGAATATCGTGGGAGGACAGAGAGTATTTTAAATTAATGGGGTTTCTTTTTATGGACTTGTTTGGATGGCAGGATATTAAAATTTTTAAAAATAACAGTAATAAATTCAACCTAGAAGTAAAGTTTAGACTGAGAATGTCAGTCACCAAAAAGTACCCCCAAAAGAAGCTTCAAATAAGCAACTAACTGAAATAAAGTCTACTGATCTGTAGAACTCCAAATATTCATTCTGACTGAGGCAAGAAATTTAAAACTATGGGGAATCAAGTGTTAAAGCCGGATCAAAAACTTTCTCACACCATGAAAATATCAAAACCAGGCATGAAGTAACATTTAAGAAACATCCATGTTTCACTTCTGACCAGGGTTCTTATCTAAGGCAATCTTCTAAGTTTCACATTCATTCTTGATTCTATATTTATAGACAATTATCCTTCTCTCCATTCTACAACTTCTAGAAAACTGAGAGGGCTCAGTGTTTCTTTGACTCAACTATACATATAATGCAAATAGTAGGCCATTCTAGAAGTGATTTACTCAACTTTCTCTGCTTTCTTTCTCTCCAAAGTACTCATCAATACTTAAAATTATATCTATTTATCTATTATACTTACTTACTTATTTTTATATATTTGTAACCCCCCTGAGAACTGGAATACTTGGTCTTTTTTGTTTTGGGACCTGTCTCCCTAGCATTTAAAACAGTTCCTGGCACATAGGAGACACATAAAAATATTTATTGAATGAATTAAAAAAGTGATGGCTCATCAACTATCTGATACTTTTATTTAAAACAAATCATCCATATACCATCATTCATGAGGATAAGTACAAGAAAAGAAATGTCTTCACCCCTACATTTGTGACTAAATCTTTTGAGATAAGAATCCATTGAGAACTTCACAAAAACAGTGTCCTTTTCCCTAGAAAATTGCACTGTCTCGAACACATGTAAAAGTATATGTGCAATTTCCATTTGTGGACCATCCTTTTAGGGCAGAGGTCTATGAACAGAGTAGACTGAATTCAGAGGGCTAAACTTGGATGGGAAACAAGATTATATCTCAATTTTCACAATCTCTCAATAAAATCAGCAGGTCCTTCCATTATGAATATAGGCAACAAATCACAGTAGATCAGCAGTAGTTAACTTGGTCCCCAACAGAAATCACAGATCATTTCATATCACATGTACGTTGCAGATATCTCAAAATATCATTTATTCACATCACTACCCCGAGTAATAACATTTATTGACCTACCACTATCTTGTTATTTAATGTGCTGAGAAGCATATTTATTACTCTATCACTAATTTTTGAACTATTCTGAAAACTAGTCAGTGTTTCAACATAGTTGGTTTCCTTTGTTTTTCTATATATTTTAACCTATTATACACTTGAAAACATTATCACAAGAGCATAAGCTTCTGTAGATTATACGCCAAAGAGACATACGTGAGGGATCAGGAGGGAGATTAAAAAACTCTGTCCTGGGGAGCCACTGACACCAAGTTAGGGACCTCTGCTTATAAGGTATAAACCTCAAGCTGACTTAGAAATCTTCAAATTTTACCAGATTCATGTTACACTATATCACTTCCCACACACAGGCTTTTTAACAGTTAAACAGTTAACTTTTTAAATTCAATTTATTTTTTTTACAAAATACATAATATATATTCACATGGCTCAAAATCCCAAAGATATATAGTACACAATCCAAACTTTTTCTCTTACCTCTGTCCCTTACTCCACCACTCCCCTCTACTCCTCAGAGGAAACTAATGTTAATCTATTTCTTGTGCCACATGACTTTCATTCTTCTTACAAGTTTGGGAAATAAAATCTCCAAGCTAGATACTATCATGGGAAATATAAACTACATTTTGTAGCTACAAAATCCGTAAATTTTAAAAAATTGCCTGGTTCTAGCATTTTTTCCTTACCAATAAGATAGTCAAACTAAGGGAACATGTTATGTCTTTTATTATTAATTTGGAATTCATTTATGACTGGTCTATTCAAGTTGAATGAATGATATGACCATAAACGGTCATGAAATACTAGTTAATTACTTTGAATGTTTTTTCCCAAAATCACTTATGTATCTAAGCAGATTTTTTCTACAAATCAATAAAAAATAACAGTAACAGAAAAATGGACTAAGCACAGACAATTTAGAAAGACAAATGTTCAGTAAACATGTACAGACATTTAAATTCATAAGTGATCAGAAAAATTCAAATTCAGATCAGACCTCTTTGATTCACCCATCACATCAGCCAAAAAGGAGCAGGGGAAGGTGTGGAGAATATCCAATGGTAGAAGGAATGTGATGGAAAGGAATGTCATCATGGCATGTTGATGGGAGTAGAACATGGTCAACACCAAAATCAGACTGATTATATTCTTTGCAGCCAAAGATGGAGAAGCTCTATACAGTCAGCAAAAACAAGACCGGGAGCTGACTGTGGCTTGGATCATGAACTCCTTATTGCCAAATTCA